GCCACTATTATTAATAACACTTTTTTTTTTGCTGAATCTTAAATCTTAAATCAGTTTATTGTTTTCGCTTTCTTCTCTTCTATCCCCTCCTTCCCCGCTCTACTCGCCTTTCTCCTTTTCGTTCTGTTCAGCTATTTCAATATATGGTTATGATTGATGGGGGGGAAAAAAAGCCAGACAGGTGGTGAAGTAGGTAGGTAAGTCGAAATCAAATTGAGTGATAAACAGGGGAAAAAAAAGTGATCAGAAAAGATCGAGAAAATAGTAAGCTTGCTAAATCAGTTGATGATCTTTGGTGAACAAAAGCCGATTGACAACGCTGTACAATACTCTATGGTAAAGGCACACACACACATACACACATGCATTAATTTACTTCTCAACTATCAGTTTTAATTGGGAGGAATTTATTGTTGAGTAATGTATGTTTTAGCAAAAAAAAAAATATCTGATCCGTTTTTTTGGGAAGATTTTTTTACAGTATAATTTTTTTTTTTTTACTTTTTACAAGAATTAATTGGGAAGAGAAGACGAGTGTAAATGAAACAAAAGAAGAAGTTTCTTTTTTGTTAGATTACCTTGTGCCCAAGCATAATAACAACAAGTTTCCATTTCAACTTAGAATCATTATGTTTCTGTAATTCTTCAGCAAAATTTTGAGCTTGTCGAGTTAAATTTGATGGCGGTACAGCAACAACAGTTAAATTTGGATTAAATATTCGTAAAAATTTATCCAACGATGATACTGGTAAATCATAGCCGGGCCGATCACATGCGTCTATTTCGCCTGAAAAAGAAACTTTATATAGAAATTAATTTAAAAAAAAAAGAAGATAAATTTTTTTTTTTTGGCTTTACTGATTTTTGCTACTTTGCAACAAACCAATATTTAACATAGAAAGATCAGTGCAAACAGTGACTATTATTGTTGTCATCACTACTTAGACATTAAACTTTAACAATGGCCATCAGTCAGATTGTCTGATTACTGTGATTTCTAGGTCTTCTAAAAAAAAAAAAAACAACAACAAATCAATTTAGTATGGTTACAGTATCGGTTGCAAAAATAGAACGCACTAAATTTAAAGAAAATATTTGGTTGATTTATAGAACACTGCGTTTACCTGTTCTATGATAAATGATTTTCACATGTTTTGGCAAATGATTAATGAGAAACAGAGAAAGAACGGTTTTTTTTACAAACTATTAAAAGTGTAAATTTACTGAAATTTTGTTTTTTTTTTTTCACTTGACCACATTCTGATTTCTGTTATATTGTTGTGTTGAAAAAACTTTTAGGTTTTCAAACAATTAATTTTGTAATACCTTGACGTAGCTTGGTGAAGTTATGTTCACAATAGAAGGACAGATCGCCAAGCTCTGTATAGTAGGCGATATCGCCAATGGCGATGTTGTCGACGTGTTCGAGAGTTGCCCGTTCCGTAAGTGCACAGTCTCGGAGCATCTCACTGTTTCTGTCAAAATCCAACTCATCACCGGTGTTGTGCCACTGCCGTTCCTAAAAAAATTTGCAAAAATACCACCTGATGAATAAAAAAAGTTTTCTTTTCTTTCAGACTGTTTCAATAGTGATTTCAAACCTTTTTTGTCTTTTTTTT